ATAGGTTTTGACGGCCTATATAGGAAAGAGCTCTAGCCTGGAAGTGACAGGGCGAAGATTGGAAGATTCGAATAGAGCTGTGGGTCTCTTTCTGTTTGAGACGGAAATATTCGTCATCACCACCTGCCATTTTGGGGAACAAACATCGTCTCAGCGACATAATCTGCGGGCCAATCCCCCTCCCCAGCCGTAGCGGATGCCCGTTTCCGCTCCATCATCTCACGCAATTCCGGCCTAAAAACGGACAATCTCCGGTCGATTGCGGGTTCTGACCGATGATGAGGGTTCTGGCAAAAAAGCGCATATGTTTGGGGTTATTTAGAGGGATTGAGGGAACGAGACAAAAATATCTAGAGGAAAAACTCAATCCTTGGAATTTGGAGATTTTTATTCAAAAACGCGAAGTTTGCTTTAAAAACGGGTCAGAAGAGCAGACAAATTGGCAACATCGGAGCCCCAAATTTTCAAGCAATATCGCGGTTTGGGAAAAAAGATAACCTCCCAACGTCTGCAACGCAGGCTCAATCCTTCGAAAACACCCAATTCCAGACATGGACCAAAATATTAGTTTGTTTACACAACAAGCAAGACTCGGCCTTAGTAACCCAAGTAAAACAGAGAAGGTTTTAGAAAACAAACGCAATTCGGCCAGTTTTTGGCCAAATGGATAAAATGCAAAGCGGGGCTGGCCAAAACTCAATCCCTAGCAAAAGTCTTTTTTCTAAGAATTGGTGAAATATATTTGCAAAACCGGACAGAAGATTGCATGGAGAAATTTAGAAAACAAGATCATAGCAATTTCTCGGAATATTGCAGTACGCAATTTCGGAAAATGATCGTTTGATCTCGAAAACTCAATCCTTGGAAAACACCCAATTCCGTACGTAGTGCAAAAAATTATGCTGATTGGTAAACAACTAAGCAGAATTGGAAAAGATTTTTAACCATATTCGAGATTTGACAATTTTCTAGACAATGTTCAAAAAACGCAGCTGGTCCCGTAAAAAACTCAATCCTTCCAAATTAGCCAATCCCATACCTAATACAAAACATTATGGTGTTTAGTAAACAACTAAGATAAAGTCGACAAGTTTTTTTAGAAAATGAACGCAAAATTGCTATTTTTTTGGCTAATATGGTAGAATTGCAGTAAGGGCTGGCTAGCCAAAAACTCAATCATTCCAAATTAGCCAAAGCCATTCAGAAACCAACTATGACTTTCCTTCAGAAGTCAGAAAAGCTTAATTCGGGTTTAGTGAGCAACAAAAACCCACCACAAATATTTAGACCCCGGCAAAAGGGGGGCGTGGAACAGCTGGAATTTAATCCACCGAAACGAGAGCGGAAGGGGGCACGCGACACAGCGGTTTTTGCCTTTCAGAGAAGAGAGCAGAAAGGAGGCAGCAGTTTTGATAAGAGAGCAGTTTGGGGGGAGAAAGATTGGCGGTTGGCTGATCTGTCTAAATATTCTCGCGCCTTTAGTAAACAGAAAAACATTAGGATCAAAAGGGCAATTCGGGGCCAAATCGCCACTATTTGAGGGTTTGATGAAGATAAAAGCTGGAAAAATGGCTATCCTGAATAAGGAAATCGAATCCAGTGCCATTTCAGGCTTTGTTGTTGCCCGTTGGCCAGATTCCAACCGTTTTACTGGCTTTTAGAGCGAATTACAAGGATCGAGTTTTTGGCAAAAAACTGTGATCCAACTTTGGAGAAAGGCAGGGTGGCCATTTTTGGTGCCAGACAGACGATTTTTATAGATTTCAAAAAGTAGCGATGCGTAATAAGGAATCCCTAGTGAGAAAAGGGTTAATTGGAGAGCAATCTAGCTATTTGGACGTATCGAGGGAGGGGGATGTGTATACAGGCCGATTGGAGAGAGCGAGAGGGTGAGCCTCATTTCGGCCATACGCACCATCGATCAAACTTTCACCCCTCAATCCACCCACCCATGACCATCTACCTATTTAGTACGTGCCAGTTCCACCGTATGCTATCAAAAAAAAATTGAAAAAATCATTTCAGCTAGCTAAACAAATTAAATGACCAAATTGTGACCGAGCTTTTGCTTGAATTTTCCGGAAATAATGACGCAATGCCAATTGAATGCCAAAATCAACAAATGAGTAATGAAAATCCAATTTAAGCAAATAGAAAATAGTCAAATAGAGTTCGAAAAATAGATCGAAGAATTGACAAACCTGTTAGCTCCTCGGCCAAATCGTCGAGTGATGGACGCGGCATTGTTCTTCTTCTTCTGCTAGTTTTCCTTCTCTTCTTCTACCCTAGTCTAGCATCTGTAATAAAAATTATGTTAACTGGGTTCCAGATGAAAGTGATCAAGAAGAAAAACTGGAGAAATAGGGTAAAAAGCCGAATAACGTTTTTTTACAAAGATGGGCGTCGAAAAGCTTACATAATAGAATCAAAATTCCGATTTTTCTGGCTAAAATAGACGTATAAAGTTGACATTTTCGGATCTGTCGTAATACGAGCTATAATTAGCAACCAGTAGGTAAAAAACGGCGTCGCATCGATAAAGCAGCTAGGGCTGGCCCCTGGGCCCCCTCGGCGTGCCCGACTGGGGCCCTCGAAATGTCTGTCCCCTCCACATCCCTATGCTCTCTCACCCAAAACAAGGATCTGACCGAGCAAAAAGCGACGAAATGGATGGAAGCGTGGACGCGAACGTAGTATAAAAATTGTGCCTTTGCTATTTTCAAACTTACTGCCCGGCAACGAGTACTAAAATTTAGTTTTCGTGTTAGAAAGTGCAAAATTGGTGGATTGAGTTTTGGGGATACTGTACGTTTGGCATATGTTTTTTCGGATGAAGAATGTGCAATTGTATCCGTCGTCTGTCAGCTAGTGAATTCCCAGAGAAATTTAAGAAAAGCGGCGCTGTGCTCTTCAAATAGCGATTCGGGATGCGCTGCTTGCTGAACCCATCACCGGATCCGAAAAACTCAATCCTGTAAAAACCTTCAGAAACCTTTCAAAAATAGTCTGTCTTTTTTAGCAGCTTTCAGCGAAGGCCAACATGCAAAGATCTTCTTCTTACCACTGGGTTTTACCAAGCTGTGTACATTTTCACCTGCGGCCTCACCATGACCGCATTTTTTCGGGATCAAACCGCCAATTTATTGTTAGCCCGACGCGCCAATCAGATGACGTTTCACCAAAACAGAAAATGTCGCCGCAAATGGGATTATCTGGAGGGCATTCATTCGAATTCTTGCGAGACGAAGTATTCAAAGGCCAGAGAAGCCGTCTCCCGGCCAACCCTCCAGTTATGTGGCCAGGTGGTGCCGTGGATTGGATTCCTCTCTTGGCCCGGAAATGGCGCATATCGCATGTTTCCGGTCACGGAACCGAGTAATTTTCTAGTCTGGCTTGCTGGGAGGTTATTGCCGACTAGGATCGAGATTTTTAGCTTTTTCTAGCTTTCCTGCTCGATTTCGTGCACGCTAGTTTTTTGAAAAACTCAATCCTTGTAATTGTGCTTTCAAAGTTAAAGTTTGTTGTCTAAACGTTGCTTGTCCGACAGAAAAGATGGAAATAGAATCGATACACCAGAAGCTAAACCTAATTCGTAGGATTCATAGAGATTTTTAGCTTACGCCAGCTTCATTTCGCCATTTTGTATGCGACGCTAGTTTCAAAAACTCAATCCTTGGATTTTCCTTTTTGAAGTTAACATTTGTTGTCTAAAGGTTGTTTTCAGCACAGTAAAGGTAAAAAACAGAAGCTTTATCAGTTTCTAAACCTAATTTGTAGGAACTAGTCCCCGCGCGACAACTACCCAATTTAGCGCCACCTGGACCCTAATTACCCCAAAAACATTTTCTGGGGTTGTTTCGCAGAGGCATTGTGTTTTTGTGGAGTGGAGTGTTGGTGGTGGGGCTAGAGTCGGTTGCCATCCCGTATCTAGGTCCCATTCCATAGCAAGTCAAAAGAAAGGCTGAATAACGGACCTCTCTCCACCTCTGCCACATCCACAGCTTTCGAGACACACCCAGTGAAGTCCCTCAATCCTTTTGGAAGGGGCGGAAGCCATTTATCTACTTCTAATTATTATTCTTGTTATCCATTTAGACGACGATCGTGTAAGTTTTGGATACGTTTTGGGATTTTCGGTCGAAATTCGCGTTCTCAACGCGCAGGATAGCGACTTTCGAACAACTCAATCCTTCGGCTTTACGTGTCCTGCTTAGATTTTTCCGTCGAAAGATCGATTGTGGTGCAGAACTAAGGGAAACAGAAACGATTCCTCAAAAAATCTGTTAAATCCTGAATTTCTGGCGTTATTACGCGGATACGCGATGGAGGCCTTCCAAAAAAACTCAATCCTGCCAATTTGCGTTCGTTGTGTATATCTTCTTTTGTGAGAGACAATTAACACATAGAAACAATAGAAAAAGAGATGATTCCTCAAAAATTGATTAAGTAGTGGATTTCACGCATTGTGTGCGTCGTTGAGGTCCCTCTAACGCATTGCAATATTTTTTAAAACTCAATCCTTCAAATTCACGTTTCTTGTGAAAACTTTGTTTTTTAAAGAAAGACTGCGAGTCATAAAGTATCGGAAAAGAGATGCTTTCTCGAAAAAAACCCATTAAATCGTGAATTTCTCGAATTTTTATGCGTCTGCTGGGGATTGCTGATTTGACCGCGTGGGAACAGGTGGCAAAAGCCATGCAGCAAAAAGTTCTAGCCAATTAGGATTTTGAGAAACTGAAAGTGATTGAATATAGCCATTTGGAAGTCTATTACCCTTGTAATATTACTTTCTGCACTTTAGTTAGATTTTCTCGATCTTTTCCCCAAGCTAGTCGAAATGGCCCGGAAGTAGGCGGGTGGGCAGTGGCCATTTTCGGCCACTCACCTGCCCCCAGGGGACACCACCATTCCACCAAATAGTATTCCTAGCAGTTAGAAGTTGTTTATTTCAAATTTGGTATAAAATTAGCTTTAGAGCTTTTAAATTCAAATTTAGATGAATGGGCTGCCGCATCTCGTCGGTGGTCCCGGTTTCCAAGTGGACTGAGGTCAGTTTACTTTTTATAAACTATCAAAATATTTAAACTGGCCACCAATCAATCGATAGTTAACTTATTTTTAGGAAAAAGTCCCCTCACCCACGCTAAAAGTCGCTCCACAATACATCATCGAGGCGCCGAGACCAAAGACCACCCCCGCTGCCATCCATATCAGCACATCGAAACCAAAACCCCCTGAGAATACCGTACACCAGCCAGTTAAAGGTATTAAAGATGCAAAAAAAACAAACTGATATCCAGAAGAGCCTCCCCCACCCCCAGAAGCCAACCCATACGATCGTCAAAGGACAGGGTCTGTGGCAACGATTATCATGGAGAACAGACCGCCCAGTGGGGTATCACAGTACGTTTTCACACTTTATTAGACAAAGTGTATTACAGTACGACATTTGGCAGTCATGTCTACAAACATCGAAGCTCTGGAAGGCCATTTACCATTGATACAACGAGGGCCAGGTCGAATAGGGCGGTTGTGGCTATGTGTGCCGAGAGGATTGGCATTGAAGAGGTACCAAGCTGGGTTTAGGCTTCTTATCTGCCAATTAAGATGTTAACACTCCAAAAAATTTTTTACTAGAAAAACCTTACAAATAAATACAAAAATATAGATTTATCGACCAAAATTCGCCGATTTTCGATCAAAATGTTAACATTTCTGCTTTTTCCATCGTTTGAATTTGAAACACAGTTAAACTGATAAAAATGCATCTTCCCCCGCTAATGCACAAGCTCCATAAACCCCAATTAAGGTATCCGAGACCCATGACGACAAGCGCCCATGTGATATCTATTGGCATAGCGTTGTGTATCCAGATATGAATCGAGTTGTCTCACATCCATATTCTAGAGTTAATAAGTTTCCTGGTATGCCAGTTTGCCGATTCTAGTTTGTATTTTATTGTAGGGATGACAGAATTGGCGCGAAAGATCTCATTGACCCACTCAATACACTCGATGCAACGTCTTTTCCCTCAAGAATATGAATTCTATCCAAAGGTTAGCTAGTTTGGCTAATTGAGCATAGAAAATTCTTAATTCAGTTTCCAAATTGTCTAAAATCGATTTTTAGTCCTGGTTTCTGCCAGCGCATTTGAAGGAATTTGAGGCATTCGGGTCAAAACAAGCGAATCAGCAGAGATGGTATATCGTCAAACCGGATGAGGGTACGGAAGTTGTCATTTTTGGATTTTCGAAACTTTATAAAATTTGTAATGCCATATAGTATACCTTTTTAGGAGCTCAGGGCACGGGTATATACCTCGTAAACCACCCATCACAGCTGAAAGACCCCCTTCAACGCCAACTCGTACAGGTGAATGTTTTAATTGGCTTGAAATTAATCGATCTTGTTTATTTATAGACAAATTACTAATTATTTAGCTTAATTGGTTTATATTCTTCAAATTTAGGAATATGTGGCCGATCCTCTTCTAATGAATGATGGATTGAAATTTGACTTCCGGGTATACGGTGTCATCAGGAGTATCAATCCATTATCAATCTATGTCGCTCGAGAAGGTATAGAATATTACGAAATGCCAGTAAAAAAAACACTTTAGGAATGGCCCGGTTTTGTACAGAAAAGTACAGTCGACCAAATGCTTCAAATTTCGAAAATCTGTATGCCCATTTGACGAATTATTCGCTCAACAAGGCAAATGATCGATATGTACACTCCACTTCACTACATGACCAGATTAAAGGTAGGTTTTAAAGTTTATAATGTAGTTTGTAGACCAGTTTACACAATTCTCCATCAAGAAGTTCAAAATGTAGTCTGTAGCCCAAAAATTTCAGGCTCAAAACGCCTTCTCTCCACCGTTTTTCACCAGCTGGAAAGCCGAGGTCTGAGAACCAAAAAATTATGGCATGATATAAAAATGATACTTGTAAAGGTGAGTCTACGGGGTGAGCTGTCAGGTCGTGCTCAACTTTAGACAGTCCTAGCCATGCTCCCGGAAATCCTGCTCCACTATGAGCATCACTTTATCGATAAGCCCGGGCCACAGTGTTTTCAGGTATCTTTTATTTTTGAACTATCTATTTTTAAAAGAAGTTGAAAGTTTATTAGATATATATTGTCTTCCAGATAATCGGATTTGACGTGATGATCCGTGAGAATGGGGAACCAATTTTGTTAGAAGTCAATGCAGCTCCATCACTAACTATTGACCATCAGCTGATAAGCTCTGCTGGTTAGTTGTCATTTTTATCACACGTTTCCCCTCATTAAATTGGTTTTAAAGTTAGTTTATATACAAAACTGACATTCAATAATCATTTTAGACGAGCCGTTATATGAAGAAACCCCTCTAAAAGTGAGAAGTATCGTCGATGAGGTCATCAAAGTACCTCTAATTCGAGACACACTGCTTTTGGTCTTGAATCTAATGGATCAAGAATATTCCTCAGCTAGAGAAAGGTTGGTTGACAAACAGATCTACTATATATAAATTTCTAATGTCCGTGCGCCCGACCGGCCGACCGTAATTCGGCCAAATTTTGCATTCAAATCCCAAATTCAAATTGTGGGAGGGAGAGGCCAGCGCTGAACCCCCGCGTAGCGGGGGGTCAGCGCTGGTAATAAATAAAAAAATAGATCCTACGATATATAAAAAATAGTGTCTGTGTGTGTGTGTTTGTGTGTGTGTGTGCCACTTTGCATCCACTTCCGTCTGTCTGTCCGGAGGATATCTCAAGAGGCGAGGGGTGATAAGCTACGAATGATACGTCATTAGGTGTGTACTGGTCTAGGGATGACTGCACACGTATCAGATTTTTAAAAATTAGCCATTTTTGCTATTAAATTTAGGTTTTTGTAAAAACCTCTTTGTTAGGAATAATTAGCATAGACCGGAAGTGGGTGGTCGCCTATATAAAGAGGCAGAAAGGGTTGTTTTTCATTTTTTTTGTGTTCTGAATCGAGGACAATTATGCAAAAGGCCGAATAGTATGGGGTCCGAGACGGGGCCAGGGTTGAAAAGTCGCGAAGCGGCTTTTCAACCCTGGTAAATTAATTAAATCTTTAATTCCAGTGCAATCCATTCGACAACCAGCTCCCAACTCCCAGATCATACACAAGATGACCTCGACACCTGGAGGGCTAAGAAAAAGCCGCATTTATCGGAAGTAAGCTTCTCTAACTTCAAAATCAGGTGAACTGTCTATTTCTATAGATTTTCCCGAATCGATATGGAGCCCATTCCTTCCACCTCCTATTCCTCGACAAAGCCGTCTACCTCTTCATGCAATTTGTCCATCTACGAGCATCAATCAATATCTCACTTGGAGGCCTCAAACAGTTTGTAAAGTAAGTTTAAAATAGTTTCTAAAAATAAAAGGTAGTTTATTCCTAATTTTGATGTAATTGAAAGGTAATTAACGAAATTCATTCGGTTTCAAACCGCGAGAACCTTTTCCGAAGGATTGAGTTTTTAAGCGCTCAGGAACTGCTGCTTCTGTGCTAAAAGCCTCTGAAAAACGAATTACCACTATCGATTCCCAATTTTGGCGTAACTGGACGTTACTTGACCAAATGCGACCGATTTCGTAACGCGAGAACCGTTTCTCAAGGATTGAGTTTTTCGACATTTAATCCTCTAATCGACGTTTCTACGACGTAGTTTGAGTAGAGACGTTTCGACCACGAAATTCCACTAATGATTTCTATTTCCAACTTATCTGAACCGTTTATGAAAAAATTTATCGTCGAGAAACATAAGATTACCGTTTTCAAAGGATTGAGTTTTTTTTGAGCGCAGTAAGGACCGGTTGTGCCGCGCAGCAGACCGATTGCGCCAATGTCGCTCGAGAGGCCACCTCTTCCGCCAAATTCCGCAGAAATTGCTCGTTATGGCTTATCAGGATGCTGGAACGCCTGAAGAAAGAGCTTAGAATCTTTAAATTCAAATTCTGCAGGATGGGGTCTTGTGTGGTTTGAAGCGCGGACCATACTCGGGATACTGGTATAAAATAAAGGATTGAGTTTTGACACCTCGAGTATGCATACTTTTCAGAAAATGCAACCTGACCCCCGTAATCTCCTCCCGAGAGATAGATCTGAAGGCAGCTGAGATTAATTTCTATTTGACTGGCGATCAATCGAAGCTTGGACAAGGTGACTGAATTTTAAAAGTCTTTAATCAGGGGATTACAGGCCTTCCATTCCACGGGTTTCTCAAATTCCTCTTTTACGTTTCGGAGAAGAAATTTCCAAAGGAACCGACATTATTGGCCAAGATGCAGAAGTTGAATCAATTTTGTGATGCTTCATTGAGGTAGGAAAAGTAATGGCTACCGTAATGAAGAAGTAGATTAAAATCTTAACGAAAAAATAAGAAAAACGAGATTTTCAGGCACTACGGTGTTCGGAGCGCGCGATTAAGAAGAGCAGAGGTACCGACAACCGATGACGACGGGTAAATACAATTCCTTCCAGTTTACAGAAAAATAGAAAAAAAAAGACAAAAACATGTGCTATTTCAGGCCGGTAGAGCTGTATATGCTACCACTTCGGATGAGAGGGAAGCGAAGATCTCGTTCTTCAGCCAGTACACTTCCGCCAAAACCGAGGAGTGATCGGAATAATAACAGCAATAATAACAATAATGGGTTACCACGGATAGAACTTTAATTAGGCAGGTTCTTTGAGTTATCTGACTGGTTTTCAACATTTTCAAGAATCTATGACATCAAAGCGTTCGTCTAGCATTTGATCTCTCTGTGATGTTCTTCGGCTCATAATTCAGTTTTTCAGAATTTAAAAATTCTTTTGTGTATTTATATATGGTTATTGTGTTGAATACGTGTCACTTGGCTTGCTGGTGATTTTTCGAACTGTAATAAAGTTTTATCCAAGATTTATCGGTCAAATTGTACGCTCGAAAACCGATAATGAATCTCACCCAATATTCCGTCATTTCTCTCGCCGAAAACTCAATCCATTGAAACACATGCAAACTTTTATTTACCACGTCTTATCATAGACTATAAACCAGAAAAGCGGAAAAGCGCGCCGTTGTGTGCATTTTAGGTGATGCAGTGGCTTGCAGTGACTGTTAGCGTAACTAGAGGAAATTTGGACCCGGATCCGATGACTCGATTTTGGAAGGGATTAGTAATTCAATTTTGTAGCTTGTAGTTTGTATTTGGCCTGGCATTAGCTTATCTGTATTCCAGAACAGATCACTGTAGTTTTAAAATGAAAACGACTGGTCGATATTTTCAAATAAGGGTCATTGTATGAATGCGGACCGGACCCGAATTTCATGAGTTGTCTGTCTGGTCGTAATTGTTGGCAATTTGATTTTGTAGCTTGTATTTTGTCCTGCATTTGCTTATCGTAGTTCAGAATAGATGGTTGTAGTTTGAAAATTTTTAACTGACCTGGATTGTTGAATCTTGTTATGTATTTTGTAAATTTGGGCCAGCGGTCCTGCAGATGTAATGATTTTTCTTAGGAATCCATCCCGATTTATCATTTTCCAAAAAAAAGTTGACAAACACGAGAAAGCGCAGCACAAATCGGGCAATAGATTAAATAAACAAGTTTTATTTACACAAAATTTCGATTTTACAAAATATTTTTTTATTAATGAACATTTTTTTTAACTTAATTTTGCTGATCGACAGCTACTACTTAGACGGCAAATAAAAACAATAGAAATGTTGATAAAAAGGGAACTGAGTGGAAGAAAATGGTTAACTGAGCTACCCATTGGCGAAGGAAAGGAAAGGAGGGGAAGGAGACAAAATGGTGCATACAATAGGCCATTTAAAGGGACAGTGCCAGCTGGCGCGGTTACGGTAACGCAAAATCTTGCCAAAATGTTGACTGGAGACTGCTCCATAGCTTTAAGTATAAGCGTTAACTTAGGGTTCAAAATCGAGGCTTGAGTTTTAGATAAATCCTTGCATCTTTCCATCAGGCGACCAGGTGATTATTTAAAAGCAAAAAAATTATATTTTCGGGCAAGAAGCAAGGTTTGAGTTTTTATCGATTTTTGCAATTTGCTAACTGACGACCCAGTGATAGCTCAAAAATGCAAAATCACGTCTAGGAACAAAAATTAAGGATTGAGTTTGGTATCAATCCTCGAATTTTGCTATCTGACGACCATGCGATGGCCGAAGCCGCTAAAATTCTTTCGAGGACTCAAAACAGAGGATTGAATTTTCTCAAAATTGGCTAACTGGATGCCCAGGTAGTGTTTGAAACTAAAACATGCCATATTGGCTTCAAAGCCTTGGACTGAGTTTTTCTGGCTGGCACTGTCCCCAAACGGAACGCCGAAAAACATTTTCGACAATCAGTCACGTAATGTATATATTTTAATGGGGGTACTAGGTGGCGGGCTGACCAATCAGCCTATTTGATAAAAAGCGCCTTACCTAGTACAACTATTCACAGTAGTTTTTGACAATTAAGACAATCGAGACGAGCACAGATCCATAAAACACACAAAAGGCTATAAAAATGACAAGAATTAAGGGGGAAGCTCGATAGAATGAACAAAACACAGCACTTAATAATAATAAAAAATAGACTATTATTATCGTATCCAATTTGTCAAATATTGACTGTAGATTTTTGGGAATCGAATTATTTTGACTTGTGAAGTCTACTTTTCAAGCCATCAAAAAAGGCTGGGAAAGAAAGGTGAAAACGACGATTTTTAACGATTTCCACTGATGTGAAGGTATTTGTCGAATTCTTGTGGATTGATGTCCTAAATGTCAGTCAGTTTATAGGAATTTAACGATGGTTTTGAAGAAAAACATACTTAAAGGAATTACGTACCATTCCCAATCCATACGATGTAAAGTCCATTGCATCCATATTATCCGGTAAAGCCGAATCCGCGGAGATTTGACGCTAAAATTTTTAGGTATTCTGACTTTTGGAATAATCAATAGTCAGTTTACATAGTTATGTATTTTTTAAATGTTGTAATCAAAAATAGACGACAAAATTCCCAGTTTGTCGCTTTTTCGAGTCTTGACTAGCCAGTTTAAATGGGTTGAAAGTTTTAAATTTTTCTATTGAAATTTGTCGCTAAATTTCGAAGTTATATAGTTTTTTTTCAAATAGTTAATAGGCAGCTTACATAAAGGTATATCTTTAGAATAAATGTATAGATATTGTGATACCTGATGGGGTGGTACATGGTGTAGTGCGGGTTGATGATGAGGATATTGTTGATATTGTTCATGTCCAGCCATCATTTGTGGCGGATCAAGCAGTCCCTAAAAGAATCCCTGAAAATATAATATTCTAGATGACATACGGCTCTCATAAGACTTTCTTGTCTCGCTCTCATTGCTGATTTCTCTGCCTCGAGTTGTTGCACGTTGGCGGAACTGTATTCTCCCATCAGTCGCTGCTAAAACAAGAATTTTCATTAATAATAATACATCATAATACAATTTACAAAAAATATTAAAAAATAAGGTTGCTTACATTTTGGGGCATTTGTGGCGGGTACCCATATGGATTTTGTCGATGGTCGAGGGCTAAATATGGAATTTTTGAAAAACTTGTAGGATAATTTTAAAATTCTTTACGAATACTTGAATACTGACTTCCATTTAGCAATCCTAGATAGAAATCCGATCCCTAACAACTTACCGGCAGGATTGAGCCTCGGATCCTCCCAGGTGGTGAATTGTCGCGAATGATCGATATAATATCGACAACCATTTCCATCATCCCCAAATGTCCATCCTGGTGGAAGGGGGCCCAGGCCGTCTTTTGGATCCTAAAGCCATAAAATATAGTTAGGTTTAACGAGCTTAAACGACAAAAAACTACGAATTGCTACAAAACTCGGTTTTCCACACATCACTTCACCACAAATGGGGTATCACGAACAGACAACAAGCCTTTGTAGCCAATTTTGTTTGAAGATCGATAATCTGTAGACCATAAACTACAAACTGACAACAACCTCACGGATGGAAATAAAAACCGGGTAAAATTTGCGCCGCTTTAGGCGGTTTTAGGTCCAAAACTCAATTCTCAAAATTCCATGCAAAACGGATTTTTAGCACCTCTTGTCGTAGATTACAAACCAGAAAAACACACACGGCAACGGATTTTAGCAGTTTTTTAAAGGAACTGAATAAAACTGAAAGACAAACAGTTTGATGGCCGAATGGAGGTGGATGGACGGGATGTTGCTGTGGCTGTTGATGTTGATATGGAGGGAATGAAGTGGTTTGTTGTGGAGGGGGAAGAGCTGGTTGAGGGCCATGCGAAGATGACAATCCATCATCACCACCACATCCACCCACTATTTGAGGATCAGAACGCCATGACGTCGCTGGGGCCTGGGGAGGACCGCCAAAGGGGAACACGCTGCACCCAGACGGGGTTCCCTGTAATGGTAGATGTACAATGGAGAAAACATTCTCGACTTGGGTTAAACTGGTTAACTATAGACCTTTGGAGATAGGAAAAAGTTTAGAAATATGTAATTTGAAGGATTGAGTTTTTGCAGTGGCACCTACTCTTACACAGAAAAAAAACTTGAAATAAGGCGTTTAGCCTAGTATTTCTGTAGATGATTTCTTTAATAGATTAAACTACCGTACAAGCTAATTTACTACATAAATATAATTAAATTTCGACCGATTTTCAAGGATTGAGTTTTGAAAACCTACATTTGATGATGCGTGGCATCAGTCGATAAGGACCGGGAGTGATATGAAGGGATTTCGTGGGACACTTCTAAAACAGACAGTTAGATATAATAAAAACCCAGCTGCAAAAATGAATTATATTATGGTACTTACCACTCATACTGTAGCTTGGCTTATGCATTGGCCGAGGGATACCCGGTTGAGGGATATGAGAGGAGGATGAGGGGGCAGAATACAAAGAATTCACCAATTCCGGGGCAGAACCCTATAAAGTGAAGGTCAGATAAGCTAAAATTATAAGTTGTAAGGCGTTGGCTAAGACGGACCATTCTCTGATGCATATATTGGGGTTGGCCCACCCCTGGTGATGTTGATGATTGAGGGCTGAGCGTCAATTGGCTATTTGACTTGAACCCATCATCCGATGAACCCTGAAAAAAGATTTTGAGATAGGCTTCTATACAGTTTAAAAGTTATGGAGATTATAAATTACAAAAATCGGTACTTATGCAGTATCGGGAGAGACCGAATTTGCCTAAAAGCACGACTTTTGTTTTTATAATTTTTGCCTAGTAACTTAATAGTAAATATTCAAATATTGTTTTTATTAAATCTTAGCACAATCTAAAGTCGAACGCCATCTAAAAACTTTTTAATGTTCAAAAAAATTCGGAATTTCTATCAAAATTCAGAATTTTTGATCGAAAAATCGAAAATTTTAACAGAATTGGTTTTTTTGTTTAGAGTATAGTAAAAAACATAGCAATTTCGACAGTTTAAAAGCTTCGTTAGCTAAAAACTACAAAATACAAGAAACAACGTACGACTGGGGAATGTCCAGCAGATCCCCTGCCTCTATTTGTAGGTTGTTGATAGAATGCCGCTGGGAGTTGAGGCTTCAATTTCCAGTTTTAAATATTTGACCATTCTGGCATACCTTATTTGGTTTCTTGACAAATCGATTCGTGAAAAGATCCTCGATCGATTTCTTCGGGTCTTGATGTTCGATCGTTCGACTACTGCCCCCTGAAAATCATATTTTTATCTTTCCAAAAATTAAAATAATTTTTTCTCCTACTTTTTGACTCCAGCAACCCACCAAGATTTGTTTGAGTTTTTATTATTTTCTTGGAAGCCATCCCGGCTGGCCCTGCAAAAGAATGGGTGCGAGACAGAAAGGAAATTGAAGAGAAAAAAATGAGAGAACCATTGAAAAATCAATCCATGGAAATAAGTTTTAGAGGAAAGGAAAGTAAAGCATTGGAAGCTGAATCCACCAGTATAGAGTAGTGATGGTATTATTCACATCTCAAATCTAATTTGCATCCGCCTAATCAAATCTGCCGCTTTGATTTGAATAAGGTTTCAAGCACTTCAAATCAAATCGATTTAATTTGGACTTTCGAGGTTTGAGTTCAAATCTGAAGATTTGAACGAGGAATTGAAAGGAGTCGAAAAAATCAATAGCCAATTACGCGGATGCTAATTTTATGATTGCATGCATAATCAAGGTCATTTCCGGTTCGCGCCAGCTCGGCCATAGCGATTTTCTTATGTTTTGCATGCCGGCATCTCAATAAGATTTGATTAAGGACCGGAAGCTTAATCAAATCCTCAGGATTTGATTTGAACCAATCCACTAGGTTTCAAATTAAATCCGTCGATTTGAAATTGAAATTTTTGCCTTCAAATATTCAGATTTGAGCTCGGAGATTTGACTCAAGATTTGATTTGAATAACCCCATCACTAGTATAGAGTATTTTGCGGAAAAAAAAATGCGATGGTTGGTTGGTTTCAATTCAGTTGATGAAATCTGAGAGTAGTAAAAACTCAATCCAACAATTTCAACGTTTATGCATAAAAAACGTAGCTATTGCTTGGCATCAGTGCAGTTTAGCGTAATTTAAGCTCGAAAAATTCAATCCACCAAAGTAGACGTTACTGCGTAAAAAATCTAGCGAATCCCTTGGCTTGAAAGCAGCTTAACGCAATGGGAGATTTGTAAAAACTCAATCCACGAATTTGAACGTTGCGTAGCGTAAACGTAGCTAATCCCTGGGCTGCAGTGCAGTTTAGCGTAAGTTAAGCTCTAAAAACTCAATCCACCCAATTAAGATTTCAAGATAAAAAACGTCGCGAATCGCTTGGCTTCCATACAGCTTGACGCGCTGTCAGATTTGTAAAAACTCAATCCTCCAAATTTTCAAAATCGATAGCAACTACTGAAAAAAACAACCAGAAACCGCCCAGTTTGCACGTTAGTTCAAATTAGACGGCGGTCAATTGGTTGCGAGCAGTGAGTTGTTGCGGTACGTGGATATCTTGGGATGGGAGGAGGTGGACAAAAATAGATGGATCTCGAGGGGGAGGGGAGGACAGAAAGTCCGAATATGAGAACGGAAGATATGGAGAACGGGGATGAACTGTCCATTCGTCTCTACAAGGAAACGGAAAATACGCCAAAAAAACCTCAATCCACTAAAAACGGCTGTAAACCTTAATTCTTTTAAGTCAAAGTCAGTTTGAAGTTATAAAAATTAATAAAATTTCTATGGCATGCAGAACGTAGTTATAGAGTCAATTATTGGTATGGGCACGAGATCTGGGATAGCTATAGGTGCTTCTCTCTCTCCCAAATGGCTGTAATCGACAAGGGTGAAGGGGATCTCTCTCTCTCTCTCTCTCTCTCTCTCTCTCTCTCTCTTTTGACTGATAAATCGCCCGATCCATCGATCCCCATCCCCCCAAAGGCACACGCGTCAAAATTAAGGCCCAAGAGAGGGCCCGCCCTGTGGGCCAATGGTCAGTCTGGGTACGAGAAATGGCCAACTGACACCTATTTCGTAAGAGGGTGTGAAAATACTACCAAAAATGGTTAAATTGATGGATTGAGTTTGTTAAAAGGTACACTGGTCGCCATTTTGTCAGAATAACGCTACGGTATGATTTCAAATTGATAAAATGCTGGATTGAGTTTTTGAAAAGCTGCTATTTCAGCCAGTCAAACTATTGAAAATCAGAAACTGAACCGAGGTGATGTGACTAGTGAGAGAAGTGGCAGTCAACCTGGCAGATACACAGCCAAAAGACTGAACTCTCTGGTCTAATTGTGGAAAACGAGTCGAGTGAGAGAGGGAAGGAAGGAAAGGGGAAACGACCAAACTATCTGATAACAATCCACTATTTTTAGATCTAGTCAGCAGGGGAAGGGGGGGGAACTAGCAAGTTTCACAAAAAACATCGGTAGGGCGCCCGTCAAATTAAAGGGACCAGGAAGGCAAAAGCTAACCTTTTCGGTGTCCACTGTATCACTACGTACTTTTTGCAAGATTGATCTCTCTGTACTTGTTCTCCCCGTGGGAATCGTGGCCCTTCGCGTCTAAAGTCAAGAAAAAGAGGGTCAATCTGCAAAATCAACAATTCGAATGTGGGGGGTGGAGGGCAGAAAGGAGAAGAACAAGGAGGCGGTGCCCCCAGATGACTAGCTGCCCTTTAATCATCCAAAATAATCATCTTCTCTTCCACTGCCCTCCCTCCTCACTTCCGATTGATTAAGTGAACATATTGGCAATCAGATGATTCGCCATGAGTGCCATTTTCATGAATCGACATCAAAAAAATCGGGAAAATTGCATAGGAAAGCGATGATTGCCATTCTTAGAAAACTCAATCCCCAGATTTTCAATTATATAAAAGTTAGCATTGAAAATTGTTAGTGGTATGCAAAATAGCCAAATATAAGAAAGAGAAAGCATTAAAATAGTTCTTCCGGCGCATTAATGACTTGAGTGGCCGCGTTGGAGGTATATTAGCAGCACGTGGGCAAGAAAATAAGTTATTCCAAGGATTGAGTCTTTGGAAAACTCAATCCTCTGATTTACGGCTTACAACAGAATTAGCACTGGAAATTGCCCGAATGGGAAGCAATATAGTCAGCTCGAAGAAGGAAAAACATTTAAATAGTTTTTTCCGGCGCTTTAATGGCTCAATTGGATGATACCAAAGTGCATGGACAAGATAATTTCGAGAAAAGTCTCAAAATCGAGGATTAAGCCTTTGAATGATAACGGGTATAGAATAGTAACTTTTAGGAAACTCAATCCTCAGATTTTCATTTTTCAGAAAAACTGGGATTGAAAATTGGTAGAGTGATATACAGAATAGTAAAATATAAGTAGGAAAACGCATCGAGGTATTGTTTCCGGAACATTAATGGCCTAACTGACTCACTTTAAGGGGCATGGACAATCTAATCATGATAAAATGCGCAAAATCGAGGATTGAGTATCTGGATGACAATAAGCATATCCGATCGAAGAACAGTGCCTCCTACCCCAGTTTGAGCCGAGAGGGAGGGGGGACAGTCCCGATTGGGGGTCTCTCCGGGTAATGTGTGTGGAAGGAAGGAAGGAAGATAAGGGAATGACGGCTGGTACCAGGAGGAGAGAGAATGGCCGACAGATAGAGAGACAGTAGAGATAGAGAGAGCATAGACAACACCATATCTGGAGGGAGAGAGAGAGCTGATTGCGAGCAGTCCAAACAGCACCCCCTACAAGGCCCACACTCCTCCTTACAGTCAGCCTCCCTCCTTCCTTCCAGTCGGAACCACATTTGCATACACTTAGCTGAACATCAAATAGACGGTAGGAAGTGGTTGTATCTACGGGCAAACGGCCACAACATTGCAACTGTGGGCCAGGTTGTAGTTTGGGTTCTGTCACACAGACCAAAACTCAACCCTTGGGCTTATCGATTGAAGTTTTATAATTTCAATTTCTACCTTCTGTGACGGCCAGTAAATAAGAAAATCGGAACGACAAAATCTACAAAAAAAATTAAAAAAGGATTAGGTTGGCATAAAATTGAATCGCGGCAGCTGTGGCCCAGATTGTAGTTTGGAGCCCCACTCAATCCTTCAAATCATCGATTGGACCTTTCTAATTTTAATTATCGACTTCAATTACAGCCAGAAAACAAGAAAATCGGAAGGAAAAATATTTTTACCAATGGCAAAATCAATAGATTAGCAGAACTGTAAAATATGGGCCAAATTGCAGCTTGGAGCGAAACTCAATCCTTCAAATTAACGATTTAATTTTTCTAATCTCCATCAGCCAATTCTATTTCAGCCAGAAAACAAGTAAACCGGATACATAATACAGCAGACGGCTGCCACGCAAAATGCCAAATAACATCTTTCGCAGGAAAAGCGTATCGCAGCTCCCTTTAGCATAGTATACGGTATCTATCCCAGCCACCCTGCCTCTCCCTCTCGACAATTGGGGGTTTCCATATTCTGGCTATGCGGGGATGCTCGTTGCACCTAAATTGGCCCTACTACCGTATCCTCCCTCCATCCCCCGTTCCCCTCTATGGTTGAGACAAAAAGAGATTGGGTGGGCGACAGCTCGGCGCCGGAAAATCCGAATGATACCTCATTGGGGACACCTGCAACCCAGAAGGAAGAAACGAGAGGAGGAACAGGTAATATGACGGTTCGAACCCGTGTTAACACGGACAGATGGATTCACGAAGGGGTTTTTTTGGCTGGGTAATGACGGGGCGGCATCGTCTTTCCATGTCTGGGTAGTCTGAGAAAGAAAAAAGTAAATTTCGGGCTGAAACGCTACTTTTTTTGTTTAAGAAGTCCCATTACTATTTAAACTGTACTGAAACAAAAAAATATTGTTAGAACATTTTCCTAAAACGTTGAAAATTCAAGGATTGAGTTTGGAGTTTGTAGCTTTGAAGGTAACATAAAGAAATGTAGGTTAATAAACGGCGTAATACTGCCATGGGCCTTAAGTAAGTTATGTATTCCCGTAAACTGTAGCAAATAGAAACAAAATAAGCGGAGACGATAAAAATTCAGCGCAAATCCAAGGATTGAGTTTTTGAAAACTGCGAAAAGAACAGTCACCCGTCAGTTTGCAAATTCAGGGCATAAACATCAAAAAGCCTTTCAAATACTGGGCAGGTCTTTTCATTTGTTGCTAACCTGGTGCAAATTAATACAGAATTTGAAGAGCTTGGAAAAATTTAGTGTAAATGCAAGGATTAGGTTTTTCAAAACTGCAAAATCCTAACATCCTCAAGCCAGTGTGCCAAATCCTCGCTATAAATCAAAAATACAAA